TCATAATTTTTCCATTTTCTTTTGTGAAAAAGTTTGCACAAGTTCTACTGTATCAAACAGTTGGCAATTACGTTCAGAAAGGCTCTTCCAAGCTCTTGTTATTTAAACGTAACTGACGTTTTGATAGCAAATCTTCAATTTTCGCTAGCTCAGGTTTAATTTTCGTGTTACTCAAATTTACTAACAACTTTTATAGTAAGAAATATACAAATATACAATTTTCTTTAAGTCTTCTTTGAATCTTTTTTCGTTTTAACTTTGAACTCCTTCGGTTTGCTTTTAATGAAATACGTAGACGAAAAGCTCCTTAAATCCTTCTCTTCCAAAGTTTTAATCCTTATATTCAGAAAAGTAGGACGTAAAACTCCGTTTCATTGCAAGAACTCTCAGTTCCAATGAGTTAGTTCTCGCTTATATCCAGGAAGCTAAGACGTAAAACTCTATTTTTCTCAACTTAATTCACTATAGGAAATCCCCGCTTAAACCTCCAGTTTTTCGTTCACTTTTAACTTTCTTAGTCGAGTGAATAACCGTTAAACGCGACTGAGTAGGTGGGTGCACTCGAAGCCTTGGTTTAGTTTACTTTTAATAAATTCTGTAGTCAAATGGAATTTCCTTCACTGCTGAACACTGGATATATTGTGAAAAATGGAACAATATTATTTTAACTTTAAGGGGCCCTTCACACCAAAGCGATCACAAGTTGCGTATGTTTGAGACTGGTAATCGTTATGGTGTTAGGGGACCTTTATATTGTTTCAAATCTATGAAAAAACTTTTGTCCCAGACAAACCAAAAAACTGGCGGTAAAACTCATTTACGACATTTTTATGACTTTAAACGATAATGTAGATGCCGTAGAATGCATATACAGCAAAATAATATGTAATGTGGTAAAACACTATCAAATTTAAAACTGAAAGATTTCTATTTCTACTCCTTTTTACATTACAAAATTTATACGTTCTCAGACCGGATAAATTTTGTGTAATGTAAACAGGCAAGTGTTCTCAAAGCCGTTTCAATTCTTGACCTCGGAACGGTTTTCAGAACGGACTCGATAAAGTAGTGTAATGTAAACTGTAACCGTCCCAGGAACGCTTTACTGCGCATAACTCATATGTTGCAAACATTTATGACAAAATCGTTATTAAAGTAAGCACGTAAAAATTGAAGAAAAACGTCTTTACAATTCCTATAAAATCGACTTAAAATCAGCCACTTTCACAGATGCACAAAAATAAAAAATATCCAGAAAGAGTAATCTCAGAAAAAAAAACACCCTTAAAAATTTCCATCACTGAAACACACGTCTGAAATTTTCACCTTCGTTCCAAAACAAAATTAATCTTTAAACTTCCAAAATCTTAATTAGATTCACGATTTAATCAACTATAAATTAAGGTACATTTACCGACATCAGCTGGCAAATTTTCGCGGAAATTCTACTCCTTTGATAGTAGGTAATTAGATTTATTCTTAGCGAGTCGAGCTCATGTTCTAGTCCAAACTTGTATACCACTGATATATACCGCATGGTAAACTGACGAGTAACGGCGAGTATCTACCCCGCATGTAAGCAGTGGTTGTAGCGTATATATTTCGGGGGCTAAGGCAACAAGGGGATCGAGGTCGGGGTGGGGAGGATGCCAATAAGGGGTTCGTGCAGTGGTGTTGAGACCCAGGTGTATATTCCCATCTGGATTGTGATTATAGCGTATCTAGTGTAAGGTCGCAGGCAGAGCAGTTAACTTCGGGCACTTAAAAGTTTATGGAGTCAGGAAGCAAGAGGCATTCAATCCTGCTTTGCATTTATACTTATTACTTCTGACATTCCGAAATATATTTCACCATCAAAATCCGACAAATTTCGGCAACAACTGACCCTCTAAGGTCTCAACCAGCACCCCAACCCTTCCTAACGACCTCCCCTTTTCTGATAAAAGTAAGATAAGATAAGGGGAGACTACCTGACAGCAAATCTCGAGAAATAAACCTAACTAAAAAATATCCTGTCTAAATGAATTTGAAATTGCTATACATGAAATGTGGTAGATATATAAAACCACGAGGGAGGGCCGAGAGAATTAACCGTCTCAAGTTTCCTGTATCTTTATATCGTGGCGGGAGGGCTGAACACTATACGTCTGCAGCTTATCGGGATTAACTAAGGTATTGTTCACTTGTGAGGGTTGGTCAAAAAGTTTCCAGAGAGCGAGAATTCTTCTTTTATTTAAACTCATATTTCTCAATTAGAAACTCGTATTTGAAATCAGAGACTCGTATTTCAAATTAAAAAAAATTCTTATCCCGACTAACGTTGGTAGTGTTCACCATACGAGGGTCGGTCAAAAACTCGTAATTCAAAACAGATATTAAAAGAGGGTCGATCCAAACTTTTAGAGAGCGACCAAAAAGCTCCTTATTCAAATCGGAAATGTTTACTTCAGAAGCTCACAAAAAGGAGGTCGATCAAAACGTTTACAGAAAGCAACATAAAACTCGTATTGTAAATTCAGAAACAGACTCACTAAAAGAGTGTCGATCAAAAAGCTTTTAGAGATCTACCAAAAAGCTACTCTTTCAAACCAGAAACGTTTACTTCAGAAGCTCAGAAAAAGGGGGTCGATTTTCAGAGAGCGACATAAAAAATCGTATTGTCAAATAGAAACTCGTATTTCAAATAATAAACTGCTGGAACCATAGACGTCTGACTGAATATCGAAATTCATAATAGACATAAGTTTATAAAACCTCTTTACAATCTCTTAAACTTGATTAATATTAGGCGTTCGAATCAGTTATATTTTCAACCCTCGCAAGGCCAAGTTGAGGCTTGGGCATGTATTTCAGTAGCCTAATATTAAGAAATTGTACTCGCAAATATCAACAGAATTGCTATGATATCAGAAACCTATTAGCTGATATTATTTTACTGTATTTATATGCAATATATCTACATCGATAGACAAGTATCAGACTACAAATAACTTTTACTGATAAACGTCTATATATTGATAATGCATGTGTGTGGGTACAGGCTGTGCACGTTAGAGATTCCTGTCAAGCGATCTGTAGCACCTCGGTTTATTGTACCGTCAGAGGGACTAGGTTCTTTTTCTATGTCAGCACCTCCCTGTTAACGTTAAAGATTTTTGGACGGGTTATTCCATTCATTTCATCTTACGCGATTTTGGAAGTGAAAGTAGAATAAATTTTTCATTTTTATGGCGGGAGGTTCATTTAGCAATTTTATCTAAATTTTCCCTCGTTGCACACTGTATGGTGTTGGCCTTCTTCATTAGCTTACATGAAAAATCTGAAAATATTGATCTATTATAATCATACGAGGCGATCGATCTCGAATTCTTTTCAGGTAGCAGCTTGTGAATACATTGTTTCGTGTACATTAATATTTATTAATATTGAAGTATCAATTAAAAAAAAGGAAAAGGAAATAGGTGATACGAAATAAGTATGCTTCATACATGGAAATAACACACATGAACGTAGTTCACGGCCATTTTGAATCACCACCTCGACTTAATAAGTCGAATATTGATAAAGGTTAGAATATTTCATCAAAAGAATTCAACTCATATTTAAAGATTTAGAAATGACTTCAAATTTGATTTAAAGGCTCTGTTTAAATATTATAGCCTGTTATTAAGTCGGGATATTAATTGAAAATGGCTGTGAAATGCGTTCTTGTTAGTAATTTCCATGTGAGAACCATACGTAGTTTCGTATTGGAAAAAGGTTTACATTAATATTCAATGGCTTTTGTGACTAGACTCTTTGAACCGATCAAGCGTTATAATAAATGTTTTAGTCCACTCAATAGAAAACGCTGTTTACGTTATTGTCATGGTAATACAAATATCTTCTAACTGTATTACATTGTCGTTAGTTGTCCTACAACGCGAAAATAAAACGGTCTTATCGTCTGCTGTGGACAAGTTTCAACTTTTACATTTGTTAAGCCCGTTTCATACAGTCAGGCATACGATCAATTAGTGAAGCCGCCGTTTCTCGGATAAATATTGTGCTCTGTAGGTCTTCGAATTTCACACATATTTACTCTGACATAGCTTCGTTTGATAATCGGATAGATATTAATGTTAGGCCTGCTTAGTGCTTGGTATAAATTAAGGATTTGCTTGCTTATACATGTTCTACGAAATGGGATTTGACAGAGAATTCATACGTTTTGTAAGACGAATTAGTTTCTTAGTGCTCGGTTGAAATTTTGGATAAACTGGCTTTTACTGCGTGGTGGGACTGGAGTTGAATTGGATTGATCAGGAATTGCAGTGTTTTGTGATTCGCACGAATAGCTAATGACGTTTCCGTGTATCTTCGTCTTGTGAACTTCAAACTCTAGTGATATTGTGTCCTTTTGATTTGGGTTTCAAAGTGCTCAACTGACTTTGTTTGATAGGTGTTTTAAATATAAGATCCTCGCCAGGATGACGGGTTGGGAATTTGATAAAAAATGCAATATAGGACTTGGTAGTTTGAACAAATAAGAGAGCTTATTGAACGCAAATCTATAATATTTTAGAATATCGACGTGTGTTTAGGATACACAATCATCATCAGGACTGTTGTTTTGGATGTCCCAATGCTATGACCATATTTATCGTTGATAACATAGTGAGGGCACACTGCAGAAGCAGATATTGGTTTTAATTTAAACAATAGGCGTCAATATGAGTAGCCTTATTGCATTTGTTCGATATTCAACAAGCCTGGTCAAGCGTTTCATAGCCAAAAAAAAGGTGTTGGCAAGTTTGGGCCTCTTTATAATTATCACAAGAGTCCTCTTATATATGTTGCTTCCGTTAAATAGGCCTGTCTTCTTTACGAAATATATCGAGCGCACACATAACGCAAGTAAGTATATACACACATATCCCGGTACATATAGACAATTAAAACCACAATATAAGATTTTATTGTGGACCACGTTGTTTAAAAATGAACTTTGGGGATTTTATCCATTCACCAGTTGTCGGTTTTCTAATTGCGTTTTGACATCCAATAAATCGGACGTATATACCGCAGACGCACTCCTATTTCATACGCAAGACTTATACGACCTATTCTGGTTCGTAAAAATGAAGTCGTATTATAACCCTCTACCAAAATACAGAACCAAGGAACAGTTGTGGATTTTGATCAACCAGGAGCCTCCTGTCCACATAATGATTGACTATTCTAGATTTAACGGTTTATTTAATTGGACAGGAACGTATCGTCAGGCGAGTGAAATTCATATGCCATACGGAAGAGTCATTAAACGTACCAATAAGGATGTAGAGGTTGTTAAAAGAACGGGCGTTGTGTGGATGGCCGGAAATTGTTTTGACCATGCGCGTAGACAACAGCTGATACAAGAGCTGGAAAAATACATCCGCATAGACAAATTTGGTTCCTGCGGTAAGGGGTGGATATCCCAAGAGGATTTCGATCAACGCCGATATAAGTTTTATATATCGTTCGAAAACTCGATATGTGAGGAATATATCACTGAAAAGTTTTTTGGAATACTAAAGCAGGGCATCCTGCCTATTGTTTTAGGTGGTGCGAACTACAAAAAACTGGCCCCACCCCACTCTTACATTGATATTAGGGATTTCACCAGTGTCAAAAACGTGGCTGATTATTTGAATTATCTAGAAAGAAATGACACAGCGTTTAAAGAGTATTTCAAATGGACCAAAGAATACGCGATAACAACGATTCCAAGAGAATGCAGTATCTGCGAGGAGCTAAATTCTCAGAGACCTCATCAAGTTTATACCAACCTGGACGGTTGGTTTGGAAATGATATTTGCCACCCCTTATCAGTAAGTGCTTCTCTTTTGAAATTTATCACCCCATGAACTTAAAACTGATGTCGATGGGCCGTTAGGCTCTTGTGGTTCGAGCGAAAGACTGACGTTGAGAGGCCGTAAGGCTGACGTTGAATGGTCGTAAGGGCGATGTCAAAGAGCCGTAATACTGACGTTGAAAGGTCTTAAGACTGTAGTTTTCCATAGGGTGGGGCTGCCATGAGTTGGAATTTTAACCTAGGCCCTGTAGGATACCGGCTTGGTCCTTAAAATCAATCGATAGTTTTAAACTGAGTAGGCTGGCTAAAGTCAGTGTTCTTACAGAATTTTACAAAATTGCACACTACACAGCGTCACCCGTCTTCATTAATCGTGCCGGGTGTAGAACTGTAGGACGAAAAACATCAGAGGTTGTGGCCGAAAGGTAACTAGTTACTATTCAACAGAAGACACTGGTACAGTGTTAAAGCAATGTTCACTAATATTAAGGCTATTATGTTAAAATGGAAATTCATAGTAATTTGATATCCATTGTGGCTATTATAGCCTATTTATAATCGATTGAGAGATCTAATAGACAAACAAACAATAAGAAAAAAGTGAATAGAGTTTTACATCCAACCATTTTGACCTGATTGGGACAATGAAGATGGACAACTCTGTGCAATGAAGGAAACTGGACCAGCAGAGAGGCATTAGCTGACTTTTTCGATTTCCGATTGTTGAGGAATCTTTAACGAGCTCAGTTCTGTGGGCGAGGGCATTCCTCCTGTACTCGCTGATAATTTTCTTTTTTTGTTTTACAGTTGGCCCAGCATGCTGCAAGATACGTGGACGGATTCGCATCATCTATTGATCTTATATAGAGATTATGGTTGAAGAACAAGAGCCAGGTTCCGTGAACGTATCCAGATCCATCTGGGTAGCTCAGAGAGTTGGAAGCCTGCCCTGCCTGTCCACTTGCGGTTACATACAGTGGCGTATTTAGGGTTGATTCAGCCTTCATACGCTGAAGGACTAGAACTAGCTCCACATTGGTAGCTCAGGGAGTTGGATGCTTCTAGAGGTCATTTCCAGAATAAATCGCGATAGTAACTTTAAATCTGTCAACCCTGTCAGTGATGAAGGTCGCAAGAGTTGTATAACAAAGAATAAAGTCGTTGGAATCAATTTCTGGGCCATGCCCACCACCTGACCCATCTCGGGGAATAAAAATGAACAAAAAAATCTACTCTCACTTCCAAAATTGAGGGTTTTTTTTTGTTTTTTACGGCTTTCTATACACAATGGAGAATTTGACCACAAACATGATATCGGTCGTTCGGAAGCGCAATAATTTCAAAGCAATATTTCTAAGGTATAATTGTGCCAAATTAATATTATTTATCGAATTCAACGTGTTGTTTGAGAAATGAAATGAAATGAAATGAATGGAGTTTTACGTCCTACTTTTCTGCACCATGTGGGCTAATGAAGACGGGACGTGTGGTTTGAGAAATGAAACTTTACAAACAACAGCTGTAGCATTATCTTGATATTGGCGGGAAAACCAGGCTGGCAGACGATAATCGGTACAACTGTGATATAATTAGATTTTAATCGAGGGATTTCACTTGTTTTAAAGATAACAAGAAGAGAATTTGACATCTCTCCAAACTCTCTATAAATGATAAAGTGAAAGTACAAGTAGTGCAGTTTTTAAAGGGTGGCACCATGATAAGGAGGGAGGGTGGGGGGAGTGGGGCGAGTTGGGTTGTGGGTGGTCAGCAGCGTCCACTGGATCAGTTGACGGGTCAAACTCATATCGGTTTGTCTGTAATTCAAAAACCCAGTAGAAGGAACTTTAATCATGGTTATGACGTTTTCAGAACTTCGGCTAATCGTTGCCTATAGCAGAATATATAAGCAAAGAAAAAATCAAAATAACACACAATCAGTTCTAATTTTATTTTGATAACATATATGCGTATCAAGAAATATAAATATAGCACATGTACGCGCATTCTGGAAGACATAAAAAAAACACACGTGCGTGCACCGAGGAAGACATTACAGTCGTTTGAAGATGAAGGAAACACAAATAGCAACCAGCATTAAAGGGAGGTAAATCATAGCAGACGGAAAACCAGCAGATTGCATTATTCTAGAAAAAAAAATAATAGAAAATCATTTTCAAACAGATTGCAAAATTCTGGACAAAATGGAGAAATCAATTAAATTTTAAACAATTTTTTTTATCAACACAGGCCTGACAATACTTAATAATATTTTAATCAGGAATGCTGATTTCGGTGAATTTGCCAGTCAAAGAAAAGACCAAAGCTAAGACTGATAGATAGGGGGTGTGTGTGTGGGTTCGATTATGAGTGGAATGTAGTTCATCATAACTCTTCTAGCTTTCTAGGCTTCTAAATTGATTTCACATGGATATCTCTGCTATGCATGGAGTCCGTACAGTAGGTCTATGAAACTCAACTGCCAATATTTGGGATTCTCTGAGGTCAAAAGTCAAAACTTGGCGTCGCAACAATTTCCCAATACTATTTACAAAAGGTACACCAAATTGCATGGATAAACTTACTTCGGATAATAATGTTCATCGAAATCATCAGATGCCATGGTGATAGCAACGATAGCAGACAATAATATAGTTACTTCTTGATACATTGTGATTATGAAGACTGGAACCTGTAAAAAAAAAACATGGCAACGAATAAGCAGATGTATGTGTGTTCCTAGAAGCAGGGGTTGGCTCTATACTCATTTATGAAATAGCAAAGGCTTGTCAACAATGTTTAGGGGTGAAATGTCAAGATATGGAAGATTTCATACAGTTGTTGGGTCAAAAGTAATGAGGCGCAGGGTGTAAAATGATCAAATAATTTGAACCCAGGTCAGCCTCTTTTCTGCGGTGGGGGTGCCACTGGAACCTACATCCTATTTAGAGCTATTTCAAATTAACGTTAGGTTTACTGCATAACATCATCACAAGTTATTAATTACATGACAATTCTTGGCGCTGTACGCGAAGTAAGGGTGGAGATATATTCTTTTTTCGTTTTACGATTAGGACCCGGTCCCAGAGAGCCTCAAAACATTTCTTGTGTCCGCACCAAGAAAGGGTAAAATTTGAAGATTAAATTGATAATGCCAGAAACATAATGTTTATTAGATTAGATTAGACTGATATATTGCTATATTTTCTATTTCTTTCTACAATCAGTTATGCACTTGTTATAACTGCTGTAATTTCAGTAACATCTCAGCTAAGTCTGAAAGTCTGGCTTTGTGGCCCCGTGGTCTGGTATCGATTGAAAAAAAAAATCGATCATATGAGATGCTTTAAATCGAAAGTCGAATAAATAAATAAATAAATAAATAAATTTAAGCAGTACTTACAGTTGAACGATGTACGACTGTCAGTATGTTCTCAATAAATGAAAGCTCGGGGTAGAGTTTTAACACCAAGTCTAGAAGTGCACGAACTGAATATCAATTAGGACAAGCGTCATATAATTACCAAATAATCAGGCAATAACTTCTACATGGCCTTTTATATTAGATCCTGAACTCGAAATGTTACATTAAAGGACCCAGGCCACAGAATATACAGATTTCACTAACGGATATGCAGGCCTGTAGCTGGCTGAGGGTCTCAGGAGGGGCCTCAACTGTGTGACTCAACAAGACATTCAAGTCATCTAAATTTTTCAGCTTTGGATCTGCGGATATAGCTGTCCCATTTTCTCTTCAATAAGTTCAAATAGTGAGACGTAAAACTCCATTTCGTTTCATTTCAACAGTTTCGAAACTATTTCAGATTTTTACTGGGTTCCCTTTAAATCTCGGTTTGTTTGGTAAATATAAACAATCCGACATAACTTATTAAATATTCTATTAGTACAGGCAATCCATCTCGTATGAAAAGAATCGCTTTGATATTTTTAAAATTCATCGCCTCAGAAGAAGCTGTCCAAAGCTAAAATCGCCACGGGCATCACAGATCTGCAAAATTCATTACGTGTTACTACCCCTTTAAGACATTACGACATTGACTATGGGAACCGGATCTGTGAAATAATTATTTTGTTTATTTAGTAAAAATAAGGCAAACAAAATGTCAACTATTTATAACAGCAAATAAGAGCCAAATAAACAAGATAGTAATCTTTTTTCGCAACTACGGAATAACCTCCACTGGCTCCAGTGTTATTGCGTATCGTAGCCATATAATTATCTTTCTTAACTTTTATTGACGGAGTAAGTACTGATTGAAAACTTAGGGCAGCCTCGCTTTATGCAACATTTGTTTAGTTTTTATGATAGCGATTCATTTTCGCACAAATAAAGAGCAACTGAGTGCATCTTGAAGCCTACTTTGTGAAACTCGTTTACTACGACACGAAGTTTGCCAAGCTCGCGTCTCAATCTACTTCCGGTTGAAGAGTATTTCCGGTTCACATGTAAACAAAACATTAAAACTGTTACAAATTGCACTTTTTTGGAATTCAGCACAAACTGTGTTATTAAAATGGAAGGAGATAAAAAGAGTACGTGAAATGATGATGTTTTATGTATTCTGACCATATTTGTTCTATCAAACGTTTATATAAAGGTTTTCTGCCCATTAACTCTTTCTCTCCGACCCTAACATAGGCATAATGTTTACAGAACTGCATATATTGCCGTTTCTTGACACAGTTCAGAGTGGTCAGAGACTAAAGCATATTCAATGTGGACATCCGCCTCCTGTGATTGGCCAGTGGGTATTTGGATTTGAAATCTTCAAGTTCAGCTACAACCAGTGCGTCCATAAGTAAGGTTTGACCAATGAATGTCTGACTGAAGGTTGTCGAAGAGTTATCCAGGTTTGTCTACAAGTTAACTGAACACCATGCTTTCAACCCCTAATATTTAATAACTTAAACTCATTAATTCCTTTTTGTTACAGAGCCGGAGTCAGTGATGGATTTGATGCAACAACTTCAAAAGGATATCCAAGGTTCTGATTGGTTAAAACAAAACACAGCTGACCAATGGGCAAAGGATAATCCAGAATTAGCTGCTGAATATCACAAAGCTGTAAACAAATCCAAAGAATCGAGTGCCACTTCTTCGAATCCTGATGAAGACAAAACGGACAAAGTTAACAAAGCTTCCTGATAGTTTTCATAACTCAAGCAACATTCCATTCATGGACTAGTGACCTAATCAGTTAATGTCAAGTTGCAGGGACAAAAGGAAACCAAAAGTTCTTTATAGGTTGAGGGATTTCAAATTTTGTTCAATCTTGTTCTTTGTTTATAAATATAAACTTCATGTTATAAAATTAGTATTATGTGTAATTTGATTTGTTTCTATGACTACTAGTCCTAAGATTTACAACAATAGTTGAAGAGGATTGGTAGGGGGGCAAGACTGTTGTCTGCTAGGCAGTTAGATGCCATTGGCATCCTTGTCACAGTAAGAAGAATCCTGATGCCTCTATCAGGGCTTCCGAGAGTAAGCTTTCACCGCCTTCACTGAATCCCTAATCAATATAAAAAATGGGACAGTAGTGTATTTAACGACACCCAAATTGTGTAGGCCTTCATTTAGAACTACAGAAAAAATCTCACTACTTCATAGATTAACCATCTATTATCATAAAGTTTAAGGTGAATAGAAATAATTTTGGTGAAAAAATACAGAAATAACAAAGATAACAAAATAAACAGAACAGAAAATTAATGAGGTGGAGTATATATGGGCCATCTTGATTTATCAAAGGGGAAAGAGTTTTTTCAACATCTCAACCCTTGATTACACAAGCTGATATCCTGGACACTACAGACATGGCCCCATTTGAGGTACCTTTGAAAAATGTTGGAAAAGAAAGCTAGTATTTAGAATTCCAATTACCGCTGGATGTAGTGTGCCAGACATCTATTTGACACCCCTCAACTTTTTATTGAACTCTTCCAAACATGCATTCTTTCTATAAAAGAAGGATTTCTAGGTTAGAGAACCTCTTTAACTTCTAGATAAAAAGATAACCTTAAAACAATAAAAGAGTAAATTAAAGATAACAGATCTCTAGGGATTTAAATGCTAATATTTTCAGCTGTGAGATGGGACAGGGAAAGAATATTTTGTGCTATTATAAATTATCACAATTGCATATATGCTAATTTTTCCGAAGCCATCAGGTTGACATCTGTCAACAATATCAATCAGGCAAGATAAAAACCAACTAATTTTGGCCAAGTGATAGTAAACCATTACTGAAATGGTCCAAACAGGAACTTTAGAGCAATTTTTTTTACTTTTAAAGCTCCAAACTGTTGACCAATCATGAAAATCATGAGTTCGTGGAATGTGCTGATCTAGGGCATCTTCACAATGTCAAGCTATTATGAACTGTGTCTAATACCTTGACTGCAATAGTCACTTTCTCCTTTTGCAAAAGTTTGTAAATCCGGGGATTTGATTGGATTGTATGTTAATGTTAACAGTTTTTGTTTGTATTCATTTGACTGATTTCCAATCTAATCGCTACACTGCCCCAAGTGGCTATTGTAGTCAAGGTATTAGACACAGGTCTTTATAGCTTAACATTGTGAAGATGGGTCTAGGGTGGTCCTGGATGCTTCATTCCTACTTCAATGACCCTTACTCAATAAAGGTCGGATCTTCAACCCTCTCTGGAGTAATCAATGGAGGCTCTCGAAGTCGTTCATAATTTTGTCTTTTATAGTGAAAAACCTGACATAATATCTACACAGTGTTAAGGATCTCTTTATTATTGTATCAATCTTCAAAATAATAAAATAGAACCTGAAACATGTTGTAATCTTTGTGCGGCACAGGATTATTGCTACAGTAGAAAATAGAAGAAATGAATCAATGTATTGATCATCCTGCAACACATACTGCACCGTACATCTTCTATTCGCGACCTTGTTTGGAATTTTGACCAAGTTGATATCGAATAATGAATATCAGAGTATTTCATTGGTTTACACAGAACATGAGATGAATGAAAATGTCATCAGATCATGGATAAGAAGTAAATTGAGAGTACTTTATATACTGTCTCCAACCCTTCCCCTCAAGAATAAGGCTTACCGGTGACCTGAAGGTTCACACTAGCCCAATATATAAAAGGATACAGTTATATCAAGGATGATAATACCCAGACTGCCAATGATCCATGGTAGATGTTTAATTATAAACACCTTATCAATATCACGAACTATTATAGCTAGTCCATAGAAGAGATTACCTAATACTGCAAACCAAAACATCAACTGTGATAGGCCAGACGTAGAGCGTAGTTTATACTGAAAATAGTTCAAAACATATAAAATTCAATGGAGCTGTGATTGAAGAAGTTCCCAACATGTAAATTCAGTTCTTGAACCAATTTCCATTCAGAATGCAAGAAAAACGCAGAAAATCTAACACATTTGCATAGAAAATGTCACAGATCAAAATTGAAGTCAGTCATTTTATATCTTCAATTGGACATAACTGGCAAATACAGTTAAAATAACAGCCCTTCAACACACAATAGAAATAATAGTATCACTTACATTAGTATATATCTGAGAAAATCTGGAGCCTACGTAAAATACGGCTGATATAGAACCAATGATATACCCAGTTAGTTCCACATTATTCTAAAATAATAACACATCAGATATTACTTGATTACTAGGCATTATTCATGAAATTAAACAGTTGCAAAGTTGTTTTTAATGTGTTTCGGGTTCAAGGGCTCAACAGTTTCATTATTTACAAGGATAATTAAGCAGTATCTTGATGATCCTGTCTTCAAGCTGGTCCTTAGACAATCTTATTGTCAACAGCATATCTAGTCTGAAACATCTGGTTCTATTCCAGCCTCCAGATAGATATTTTGACAGTTGTCAGCAGGACCAAAGTCAGAAAAACTAGGCACTGTTTTATGGGGATTTTCCGCACCTCACGTTACTCTTGATATCTAGGCTGCGCATGCAGAGACGAGATTACGAGAGATAAGTTTTGTTTAAGAAAATTTGATTACAAGGCTTACCTTGAATATGTGCATATGTCCTACTTGAGGTACCATTAATAAATTTCTACCAGTACTATGATGAGTGTACATTGACTGGGGGACTGTCATGCTGCCAAGGGGAGAGAACTGATGATATGTTTTAGCACCACCCAATAGAAACAACCCACCTATACATAGTACTGCTTGGACACTGAACTCTTTTACAACTGAAAATGAAAATAGCCAATATCTAAATTACCAAGCCTATATCCAAAGTGTAACAAATCTTCTATCCAAAGTATTGCCTACAACTTTCCCATTAGGATTTCATAGAGAATAATGTGAAAACCACATAAGCTGGCTTATCTTAATAAATCAAAATGAGAAACTTAAATCAATACATTGCCCAAAGTCATTTACCATTTTGGAACAAATATTAGACAAGTTCTTCTAAGCAAAAAACAATAGTGCTGACATAAACAGATGGTGGGACTTATTGGCAGAGTGGAATCAGGTGTTCAAGGGTAAAAACTTAAGCTACCCACCTGGTTTTTTGTTTTTGATTCTGTAAGCCAGGTATTGACATAGCAATATTGTATCTGATGTCACGTACCATACAGCTACATATATCTAAACAAAAATAATATCTGATGTCATAATTCATTTTATACTTAAAGTCAAGATGTTTTTCAAAACTCCATTGAAATTTCAGCCATCTGTATCACCTTTCAGAGTTGAAATATGATGTCTGGTATATCTACGATTAAGTAAACACTATCTGCTTTAACTAGCCAGTGGAGATGACACTACCAAATAAATTTCCTTCGCTCTGCTGAACCTTTTGAATTATTTATCGACAAAAATTTCTTCAAACAGTGGGTAGACCCACTGCCCAATCTTCAGATTAGTTGTCAAAATAATGTCCCAAAAGCGTAGGACATACCTGTACTTTCAATTGTTTGGTTAAAATGGAGCCTATTAAATTAGTTGAATCTCCTAAAAACCACTGAAACATGAGAAAAAAAGATATCCCTGCCATTCCATCTAAATGTTTACAATTTTGGATCATTTGTCTGAAAAATACAACAGAATAAAAATTACTTTCAGTGTAAAGAGAACGTTCATATAACAACTGGAATTTTCAGTTTTTTTTCTGATAATATAGATATCAAGATATGATCGTTCAGTTAGCTTATGTATCAGGATCGATTCCATTTGTATCATATTGATAAAGGGATAACTATCTTGTGTGCTGAATTTGAGATATCCATATCACCTTGCAGAATAATAATATGACTTCCAGTCTGACTACAATCAAATCAATAATGTAGTAACTGGCATGACACTAACCCTTTTAACACAATGGAACAAAAAGTTTATTTTTGATAATACAAGGAACAAAAGAAGTCTGCGATATCAGCATCTGGTAGAATTGGATATCAACTTGTCCTCTACTAACCAAATATACAAGTTAGATATGAAATATCAAATATTGTGACCTTACAAAATTCTGAAACTTACGGAATGCCACAAGTCATCCAGATTAGCATAGATGCCAGCCCTAGATAAGTTGAAGCAATTTCGTTATCTGTTCTCACACAATCATCCATCACCTTCCAAATCCATGGCACCCCGGTAGTACAGTTTGGATCACTAGTGTTCGTACTGTTTATAAATTCAGTGAGATGATAATCAGGGAGGTAGAACATTGTTGGGATTTATTTCAGCTGACACAAACAAGCTGTCTATTTCTTTTTAAATATTACAGGATTCACATATTCTTGGGACTAAAGTACAGTAGTTTATTGCCTAAAAAGTAAAAGACCATATATAGTAAATTGTGAAGAGCTTTTCAAAGTACACGAGCTTGAGTTATTCATGGTTTCTGTTTGCATAATTCTAATTTCCCATCAGATCTTTGTGGCTCCTGTAAATTCATCTGATTGAAAATTGAAATGGTGCAAATCAATGTTTGATAGGCTGCACATCAAGATTTTGGAAAACCTACTTCGTAATCTGCTAATCATAATCCCTTTATGACTTTAAAGGGTTTCGTATTTCGTTCAAATAGAACATATAACTGAAAGTACATCTTTGAAATAATTTCTAACGAGACTTGAGTGTCACAAAATAGTTTTTCTTCATTAAAAAATTACGTAATCTCAAACAGATAATTCTCAAATTGCGATTTAGACATATTGACTTACAAATCGTTTCTTTTAAATCTCGGTTCAAAAGACGCTTTTCTCACAAACTCAGTTCCTCAAACGTGGACAAACCTACGAATAATGAAATTACATATTCATTATTTTTCAAATGATAAAAAATCCCCCGAAAACAAGAGACTTTGCTCACCTGTCAAACTATTTTTGGTTTGTTTTGTTTTTAAGTCAGGTGACTTTGACACTTTTCTCGCCTCACTGATTGAAAACCCGGTCAAAGGGAGATAACCTCTTTCTCTAAGCCTGTAAAAGTTCGTTTTATCAAATATACCAAATTTAGGCCATCCTTGAGTCCCAAATAGGAGCAGTCGTCGGTTATTACGCACTTTGATTATTTTACATTCTATAGAGCTTATTTCAGTGATTGTTCAGTGTGAAACTCTTACGCCTCTTGATCTCGCAACCCGGGAATGTGATCACGATACGTATACTTAATATCTTATAAAAATAAAAGAGGCTAAAAAACACCATGTAAGCCATTTAATAAAGGCAAAGGTATTTGCTTAACCATAGTACATGGCTTAACCAGTAATGGCGATGATTTGCAACTACCTGTCATGCTTTTTAAAGTTCAAACAAGGTCTCCTCGCCTTTCTTCCACCTAATGATTCCTAGTAACGCCACTGCACTATCATCATTATGTTTGGCTCCGACAGAATGTGTGCTCTAGTGGCCTAGTTAGTCAATGCTTTCATTAGTCATTCTGTAGTACAATTCCCATCACTTAACAACGTCTTGTGGTTCCTCAGTTCAGAGAGTCAACTCAGCTGCCTTTTTATCGATCGATATTAAAAACTAAATAGGTCATACTATAGATCGAAGACGAAAGCGAGACAATATTATTAAAATTTTCTGCAAATTTAAGTGAAACAGAAATTTTTCTACTTCAGTTTTTTGGATTTTCGCTTGTGCAGTGAGTTTGCCCTTTTTTTTGTTGGACATTTTTTAATTCGAGTTTTCTTATTGTAATTGTATGTCTATAATATTCTGGCGCTCAATTAGAAAATGAAATGAAAGGAAATATAGTTTTACGCTCAATGGTTGTGTTCCTTCTGTTAATAACGAATCACCAACAGCGTGAAGTGTGCAATGAGGGAAATTTTGTATACTTTTCACAATGGGTAAGACCAAGAGATGACAAAAGATTATAATACAATAGAGTGCATTAAAATCCAGTGTGGCCATGTCGTAGGAAGTTTTTCGTGTTTTTCTGTGGGTCTCTTTACTGGCAATCCATGATCCAACAAAGTTATACTTTAAATCATGAAAAATGTCAACCCAATATTGCAAAAATTGTCTTAGCTTATGCTAATCAGTAATATATAAAAGCGCATTTGATGACCTAGAACACTTGACAAAACAACTAGAGTTAGGATATCTTCACAATATCAAGAATTACGACTCTCGTTTACTACCTTGACTGCAATAGCAACCTTTCTTGTATCACAGAGTGCTGTGAGTGCTGAAGATGGAGCTGAAAATGCAAAACTTCAAAGGCCTATTACTGAGATAAACACTTGCTGTATAAATGAAAAGGGACGATGTCCGTCCATTATGAAACCAGACTATTAATATTTCCTGCGATTAGCTGCACTAATTGAGCGTCACTTTAATATTCAAATATTCTCCATTATATCTGACCTTTACCATAAATTCCTCACAAATCAGTTTGCTCGGCAGAATTCGAGGAGGTAGGTTGAAACATGATTTTTATTAGGATGTTGTACTCGTAGCACCCTTTTTATATATACACATTTTTTTGCGCATTCCATTGGTGTCCATTGCAGAGCAAGGCGACGCTGTGCATCAGCTGGGGTATTGCTTAGTGCATCTTCTCTAGGATTTAGATGGAACTGCAGCACAGCGACTCAATGGCGACGGGGTGATTGAGATGGTTGGTTGCATCCTTGCAAAATGAAATGAAATTTCAGATTCAACTTTGCACCAGATTGGGCTACGTCATGCAGTGTGCATTGAGTTGAATATTTGCAAGTGTTCATAGCCTCAGGCACAGGATTGCGTTTTCTCTACAAGTCGGAGGATCAGAAGCTTTTCCGTGTCAGCCCCCGACATTCATCGTCTCGTGCCCATCGGGATTGAACCTAGGACGCAGGGTTGTAGGGTATAAGCTAAGCTACCCGGCATCAACAACACTTGCCGCAGGCGGAATTTCCACGATGGTCTAGGTCAAATGGTCCCTATAGAAAATGCAGCTTTTATTCGCCTAATATTGAGATGAAAAGTAGGCAGTAAAACTCGATTTCATTTCATTACTCCCCTGTATCGGATCGTTGACGGAAATCATTACGTGTATTTCAGACGGAGATGGATAAAACGGAATTAATGGTTTGGCTGATGCTAGTGCTAGGAGTGGGCTTCATAAAATGTCAGCATAATCAAGATAGCCACAGGTAAGCTTAAAGCCCACATCACACTGTTTTTAAAGGGATACAGTCATCTTAATATTTACTTTACCAGCTGATAAAGCTCAATTTCAGCTATATGTATAGTCATCTTAATATTTACTTTATCAGCTGATAGACCTTAATTTCAGCTTTCTGTATAGTCATCTAAATATTTACTTTACCAGCTGATAAAGCTCAATTTCAGTTATCTGTATAGTTATCTAAATATTTACTTTACCAGCTGATAAACCTTAATTTCAGTTATCTGTATAGTTATCTAAATATTTACTTTACCAGCTGATAGGGCTCAATTTCAGTTATCTGTATAGTTATCTAAATATTTACTTCACAGCTAACAGAGCTTAATTTATGTTTAGACTGCAATTAGACTGTACTTCAAGTCTGTTATTACCAACTATCGGTTATAATGCTCAGAAAGCGACGTCCAGATTGTTACACTGTTGTTTAATAGAAGGGAACCGAACTTTTGCAACAACTTATGCACAGTGAGATTAGAATCATACCAGATTTATTACCATAAGTATCTTTCATTTTGTTTTTAAGTTTGGACGATGTCAGCCGTTCACGGGTAAGTAAAATCCTTATCGTCGTATATCACCATCCACTGTCATCACCATCATCATCAGCTGCAACTGAAGGTTTTGTTTGAAGGCTCTTTAACCTAAAGTTCGGTGGCTTGAGCTGGTCAGTTCTCCCACGCCTGTAAAGCAGGTCAGAGAGTCCATCATGAAAACGCTTCTTGTCGGTCGGGTAAGAGCAAAAATATATGCTAATTGTGTTTCATCATCAGTTTTACCTGGTTAATTTCAGGTGGCCCGTCAGTCACAGTTGAGAGTTGGTGTATTGGAGGTAACTAAACACTTCTTGTTACTTTTTGTTACTTATGTACACTGGGATAATGTTCCGAAAGGGGGTGCTCTTGAGAAGCCCTGGATCCCTAAGAAAAAATTGCTGTTCATCTTCTTAAAAATGAACTTTTATCGTTGTTGTTTTTTCCTTTATATCATTCAATGATCAGATATCTCAAATTTCTAACCATTTCTTGTAGCTTCCACCATACGTAATAATAGACAAGAGCAAACCGGAGTCGGACCAGAAACGATATACTGGCTTAGCTATCGATGTTTTGAAGAAAGTGACTGAAAACCTTGGACTCAGATATACAATAGAATTACAGGAAGATGATCTTCCGGGTCAGAAGATGCCAAATGGTTCTTGGAATGGTCTGGTCGAACGCCTTATCGAACGGGTACGTAGCCTAACGGGGTCATAAAGGGTCATGTTTCTTTAGCAACGGTACGATCGTGGGGACATGTATTGAGTCTTTTCTACACAAACACAGTGTTTAGTTCAAATCCAGATTTTTGGAAATGCAGTCCCTTTATCTTTTATATTGTAGAAAGTAGATGTAGGGGGTCCACTCCATATCACCTCGGACCGGGAGAGAGTGCTAGACTTCACCAAACCTATCGTCAACTCGGGAATAAGCTACTTGATCAAAGAAGCCAGAGTGCAGGCGCGATCCATATCTTTGATTTTCGAGCCCTTCTCAACGGAGGTCTGGCTGACCCTCTTGATCGCCTTCATCATCATCAGCATCTTGTTCTATACCATCTGTAGGGTCAGCCCCTATTCCAATGTTCCTCAACCAAGAGTTTCCAAGACCAACGGGTTTTTATCCAAGATCACCGACTCATCCGCTCCATACAGCATCAAAAACAGTTTTCTGTACACAATCAACGCCCTTACTTTTCAAGGTAAATATGTTTTCCAGAGACTAAGGAATGTAAGCCCTTTCTTCAAGGGACGCGTTCGTTGGTCTCTTAGAAACCCCAACCCAAACACGGTACCACAAACAGCCGAATGGTAAGATTTTCTTTGTATAACTCCGTAAAATAAGCCTACCCTTCGACAGTATTTTGGTACTGTGTCGGACACAGGGACATTGTAGAATATCCGGTAATGGCTCGATGGATTCATTAATGGTTCAGCTTTGACTAGGTACAACATTCTTTCATTCGTTCGGTCGTTCGTTCGTTCGTTCATTCTTTTCCATTTATTCATTTGTTTTCTTGTAGGGCAAAGGAATACTCCAAAAAGTTGGGCAGCTAGAATACTGAGTGTCTTCTGGGCGTTGTTCTGTTTGATTATGATCATCGTCTATGCTTCCAGTTTGGCATCGTCATAGCAGGCAGAGGGTCGAGCTCCATTCTGAAGTTCTTCGACATAGAGAGTCTGATGCGAACTGGCGGTACCAGCCTTGGAATAGTCAGAGGCCGCTATGAAGACGCCGCATTGAAAGTTATGGACTATGGCGTATGGAAATTTGCGGAGCGAAAGGGGATCTTCTTCGAGTCCTATTCGCAGGGAATACAGAGGTTACGGATATCAAATGGTAATCTGGCATTAGCTATGGACACCCAGGCAGCAAAGTATGTGGCATTGAGGCACTGCGATTTAAAAAAATTAAAATCTGTGAATCCTGTAGGAATTGGATTTGCAACATCTCCAGGCAACAGTGAGTTTTCACTTTTCACTTTTCACTGTCAAGGTTAATATTTGTGTCTAGAACCAGAAATCGTAGGATGTGAAGCCCAATTTCTTCAAGTCCTTATCGTTAAATCTCATAAGATCGAACCATTAGGATGTAAAATCCATTTCATTAGACCAGAACATTAGGACTTAAAACCCATTTCATTAGCGCAAAAGACGAAGGTCTTAAGATATCATTAGAAACCTTTGTGATAGTGACCTCATCAAACACTTAGGTTTAGTAGAATAACAACCACAGACGTCTGGTTGAAAATTGAATGCAATCAATTTACACAGTTACCATAAAAATTTGAGAAAACATCTTTACAATCCCTTTAAGAGTACTTTTTTCTGTTCTCAGGGGTCGTGAGCAGCTCCCAGCTGGACCAAGCCATTCTCAGGCTTCATGAAGATGGTACATTGACCATCCTGCTAAAGAAATGGTTGAACGAAGGTTCTATGTGTTCTGCAGATATTGACGCCAAAGAAACGTCAAGGTCCCCAATTATAGTAGCCTTCACTTTCACGTTAAAGGATATGTCGTCACCTCTGATCTTTGTGTTTGTGGGAGCTCTGATAGCCATTGTGGTTTTGATAGCTGAAGTAATCTATGTTCGATGCTTTTTAAAGGTAAGATGGTTCGCTTTTATAATAATAATAAATAAACATTTGTAGAGGTAAGTCCACATCACACAGGGACATGATCAAAGCGTTTAGGATCACAATGTACAATAATTATGAGTTTTACAACAAGTCTAATGGTAGCGTTGAAACAGATGAGTCTTTAATCGAGATTTGAAAGTTTGTAATGATGGTGATATTTTAAGTCCGTAAGGGAGACGATTCCATAATATAGCAGATTGATATTGAAAGGATCGACCACCGATGGTTTTCAAATTATTGATTGGAACATCGAGTAGGCATTGATCCTTTTAAAAAGATTGCTCAAGGAGTTTACTAAACCTTTCATGTAAATTGGAGGCACTGAAATAGAACCACAGACGTCTGATTGGAAAGAGGAATGGTGCTTTCAGCGTACCCGATACACATTAACCACAGAAAATCTCTCTGTTTCTACCATGGTTCGCTTTAGCAGGTAAACTCCGTAATATAGACCGATTGACGTATTGTTTTGGAGATTCAATTCCTCATACGAAGCTATTTGGAGAAAGTGAACCACGATCTCATATAATCATTGATAAGGGGTGATATCCAAATTTAGTTGGGGTTACTAAAAGAGTTATCCCATACCTCCCCAAAATATAGAAAGAAAGCGAGACTTATTTGCATCAGACCACCCATCCGATCAAAATATAACTCCTTATATTAGTCAACGACGTCCCTTTGAAACGTATAATTTTTATTTTTAGGGGGCTGAGAAGGCGGAGGAGACCAGGCTAGAGGAGAACAAGCTAGAGGAAGGTGACGGCGACATTACAAAAGAAGAAGTGGTAGTTGCCTCCCCTTGATTCATTCCAGTTTATGTGCACAACATTCTCGTAAATTGAAATAATGTTCAATTACGTGTAGTGAAACAGGGATATTTAGGGACAATATACACAATATGAAAGTTTGACTATTATCATGTATGGATATAGAACTTTGACTATAAAAGAATTGACTGCTGAAAACACATAGTATATTGTCCCCAAAGCCTTCGTCTAACAGACATTGACGGGAATGTTTTTTTTGGACTTCTGGACGTCGTCTCTTTGTACTTTTTTACTTTCAATAATATTTGATGTAACAATCGTTTTTCTCTTTTCCTAAATTTTCTTATTGGAAGAATTTTATAGTGTCACTTCCGCTAGTAGTCCATTGTCTCACGTCCACAGTGGCGTTTCTAATGAGGCATTCCCAGAAAAGAGGCTGACCCAGTTTTGGCTCCACCCACTTTCAAAGTTTAATATCATTTTACATAGGGAAAGAATGGCCTGTGGCCCCTCTAGAAATTTTTTTTTTAGCTCCTACTGGCCCCCCTCCCTCGATGTTTCCTAGAAAAGCCACTGCACGTCCCCCAGAAAGGATTTAGGCAGTGTAAAATTAGACCAAACTTTCGTTCCGTTCATCATTAGTTTTGATTTATATCTAAGTTAGGGTCGAACGACGGGCCTCTTCATCCGTTTGATGACACCACCAGCCAATCAAATTTCTTCTCTCCAGCGCTGGGATTTTGTGACGAAAGCAAAAGGTATATTCAGACTAATTCCTCTGAAATTTAGGCCTCTTATTATTTGCATACCATTGAGTTCTGGTGCTATTAGCCCCCCTCGACAATTATACGGCCACTCCACTTAATGCTAAACGCCACTGGAACAGACATCGTTAGTGTTTATTCTCATTGAATATAAGGTTCAAAAATGTAGCTATCTCCCTTCACATAGAATCATCAACGCAATACAAACGTTCGCTGAATATAAGAGATGTCTGGTCACCAACCAATAGGAAAATCACTTAAATAAAGTTCTTCTCCGACAACTTGTCGTTTGATGGCTTGATGCTACGCACAGAAGGGGAATCATCACCGAGTATAGTCGTCCCTCTTTATGCTAGTAAGCAAAGACGTAGATAACAATCCCAAACAAGGTATGTTACCACGTTTTACACACCAAAGATTTTCTACTGTGAACGGTTATCTGATCTGATAAAAGATCTTCGAAGGCCACTTGAGGTTCTGATTTGCATATTGAGAGTCGAGGATCGTGTAGAATCTTTTATCACTGAAGTCAGAAAAGTTTAAGAATTGGAAGTTTCTTATGGTGCAATAGGAGAATTTCCAATCTTATATGGGTACCAGAGAACAGAAAATAAGGTCGATAAATCTATAGAAGATAGAAGAATATCCTAACCTAGCCAACAACCACCAAAAAGTCGAATTGACTCCATTCTCCAATAAAATTTAATAATTTTCTCTGTGAATAACCAACAATTTTACGGTCGAATGTTGGAATTGTTGGTAGTCCGAAACAGGCCGACTCTTCTGATACCTACTCTGATAGATTACTAGCAAGAATCTTTAAATTAGAATTAAACTTAGACCAAAGCTTAATTTGACGGACGTTCAAGAGGGCTGTCGTTAGACCGTAACTGAAGTGTCTATATTATAAATAAAAGCTAATAAAAAATCGAAACGAAAATTTTGCTTAATTCTAATTAGACTGACGAGTGCTTACTCATTGACGCATTTCTGATAGCTTGACCCTACTGACCGAACCTTACCTCCGAGGTCCTAGTTGTTCGGACAATAAACTGAGGCCCTTTGTGCTACAGACTGTACATGATCTCTTGACAGTTAGATAGTAGGCTAATGACGCTATCCTGGCAAATATTTCCTCAATTTTGATTACCATGACCCAATATCAGAGCCTGTACTATAAGAGTTTGAATGTTTCAGACTAACTTGTCGGTCAGACAAGAAATAAGTTTAATCAAAGGTACGGATGATATATCTCCTGTCAGCCATCGATCTGCTACTTTATCTGATATATGGCTCAATTATTTCCATGGTTTTTTTTATATTATTATTTTAACTGGGCTGATGTAATTGTTTTAAAAGTACTGCAATCATAGACATAGCGATAGTCGAGTCAAAGCAGTTTTTCATCCACGACAGCTAACAATTTAATCGCAGTTGATTCCACTAGCATAATTAAAATAATACATCTCTGGTTGAGTCAAGTCGAATGCATCAACCGCCATAGCCCGACAAACCTGGCCCTACCCTTTCATAGATCGTGATATCCCATCATATCCCGTCCGAGGAACGGGTACAGTCGGGCTACTATTATTATTGACGTACCGGGCTCAAAATCGACCATAGTGCAAATCTAACTGCGTTATTGCATCGTTTCGGCACGTATGACGTCACCTTCTGATCTCCAGGGTTGGACTACGCAACTTGTAATAGATCTCCTTCTAAATATCATACCGTCCACATTAGCCCACGCTAAAGTAGGACGTAAAACTCCATTCATTTCATTTCTAATTTCATAATTTGAAATGAGACGTCGGTTAATTTCCTTGAAATGGCCGCGATATTTCCTGTTCTGGACAACTTTATTAAAAACTGTATGACAGTAGATATTGTGGAATCATTTGATT